CCAAACAGTTCCAGACAAAACAGCAAACGCCAGGCTGGGGCAGGCGAAGAAGGGAAGCAGGAACCCGTACAGTCGGTGATGCTGCACTGTGGGTGGTGGGGTGGCTTCCTCAGAATCCCGCCACTCCTTAGAGCCACTCCAGGCTCATCTGCCCACCTACTGGGAATGCTGGGAGACAAGGGACAAGAAAGGGCCTGGGAATAAGGAGAAGGGAGGTGGGACTGCAGACTGATGGTTGGAAGATTGAGAGACTCCTGCGAGAACCTGCAGAAAAAGAGAACCAGAGATCCGTACGTACACCGGCTCATGAACTCTTGTGGTTCTACATTGTCCATGGAGAGAATCTAGCATATAAATGCTCTGTACGTACTTGGAGCCTGAGCACTTTGAAGAAGGTGAGACATGGCTCTGGGTACCCACATCACCCCAATGTGCCTAATGGAGGTCATCCAGGTGTGCCCAGATGTGTTCCATTTAGAAGTGGGCACAGACAGGAGAACAGGCATGGCTTAGCATTGGTCATCATCACTGTTGGAAGATCAGATTGAAACACCAGCATCCCGCAGGAGCAAGCAGGGGGTGGCTTCAGTGCTGCTGATAGGAATGGGATGGGAGCCTTCAGAAGAAGCCTTCTGTGTCGTTACTGCCATTTGGCACCATCAATTCTGTTCCATCTCACAGTACAACTGAGCCAACCCTGCGCCGTCCTCACCATCACGCTGTCTTTGAGCCCATTGTTGCAGACACTGTGCCCCCTGTCTCCTAAAGTCCTCTGTTACCATGGGGAATCGGACTCTAGTTTTACTGAGCTGTGTTTTTAATGCGACAGCTTGCAAATGCTCCTGGAATTCTGTTTTGTTCAGACCACAGAATTCTCTGCCTATAAATCAAGCTTCGGCAACAGAGGGCGAGGGTGAGGAGAGAGCAAGTGGATGGAAATGATTCTGAGTACATTGCCCCAGCAGCCTCGCCCAGTTACATACCCAAGGCATCCCTGGTGGGTAGTGGCGTGGTTTCTGTCTTTCCCATGAGCTTGGGGAATGTCTTCTCCAGGATGTGAAGAACCGCCATGGGGAAGCACCTCCTGGCCAAAGAGAGACAGAGTGACCTTTTTCCCAATGAAGACAGACAGGGGGTGCTGGGCAGAGCAAGGTGGAGCCAGGGCCCTCGCTAAGGAAGAGGGCCAAGGGAAACATGGGCTTCGACCTGGACCAGGGTTGTCGGCAGATGGAGCTGATGAACAAGTCGCTTAAGGTTGCAGAATAGAAGTTGTTCTTCCACGGGCCTTGAAGGAAACACTGGTCAGCAAGCCGTCACTTTACCCAAAGATATGCTTTATAACCATGTGCGCTGTGCCCCTGAGACCCTCAAGGAGTAGCAGGCTTGAGTAGGACTTTCAGCTCTGGCCCGAGGCCCCCAGGCCACCATGGACCAACTCCTCAATGGCAGACATCACAGAGTCATTCTCAAACCTGGGAGGGCCCCAGAAATTGCCTTAGGCCTCAGCAAATACACACATGTATCCAGCTAAATGTGTGTGTTTTCCGTTAAATAGACATGTATATCAAACCTATGCTTGTACACATATAGTTCATTAGATATAGAGCTAACAGGTGTCTGTACGCAGTTAAATATGCATGTGTGTAGATAGTTAAATACATACATGGGTCCTATAGTACACAGTTACTTATATGCAGACACAACTAAGTTGTTGTGGTTAGGTGGCCACACAATGAAGCCTGCCTGGACCTACGCCATCCTCACAATTGTGGCTGTGCTGAGTGCACCATGGCAGCCACAGGGCCCACCCATCCCAGTGAGGCCCTTCCTGTCTCTCGCTGCCTCTCTCCTTACCAGGCATGGTGTCCGTCCTTCTGCAGGGACCCGAGCGAGTCGATGTATATCATTAACTCACTCTTCTGTGCCAGTATATTTGCAAGACTGCGCCTTGGCCGACCGACTGGAAGAGATCCATGTTTTCACCCAGTGCAAAGAAAGGTGACCCAAGGGAACACTCAAGTTCTAGAGCAAGGTCATTACTATCCCACGCAAGTCAATGCTTGCTGAAGACCATCCAGCGATAGTTGCAGCAGGATGCTGCCAGGGAGCTGCCAGGGGTTCACGCCAGATCTAGAAGAGGACGTCGAATTGCCATCAGAGGGATCTGGACTCAAAGCAGAGAAGACCTAAAAGATGTTCGTGTGTGTGTGTGTGTGTGTGTGTGTGTGTGTGTGTGTTTTATGCCAAGGCATTCCACGATGTGGATCATAACAAACTACAGAAAGCCTGGAGAAGAATGGGAATTCCCAAACACTTCATTGTGCTCGTGCGGGACTGGTACGTGAATCAAGTGGCAGTGGTGTGAACAGCGCAAAGGAATGAATGCAGCGAGGCCTCAAATCAGAAAAGATGTGTCAGGATTATTGTTTCTCACCCTACTCGTGAACTCTGTAGGATGAGCCAATCAGAGAAGCTGAATTATAGATAGTAAACTGAATTATAGAAAGAAAAATCATATGCAGCTTCAGCAGGGGAAGAAAGCTTGTTGCCCTGGGGAGCAGACCGGAGCCCCTCCCACTGGATGGGGTCTGTCCTGGACCCAGTAGCCTAGCCCACAGCCCCAGTTACCCAGGCCCACCCAGGCGGGACACAGCCCGGCCCGCCCCAGCTGAAGATGGAGCCTTCTGGACAGAGCCCTTGCGGGGCTCACTCACCTCAGGCTGAAGGCTCTGAGCCCGGCAGGCATCCTGGACCCTTTGTTCCTTCATCTCATCAAGTCCACCCAGGGGGCGGTGGCCCCCTTTGGGGGGTAAGAGGATTTGGAGCTGGGGTTTAAGATAACCATCAGTGCTCAGACCTGTCAGCATCAGCCACTCTGAAGCACAGGGTGCTTTTTCAGAGGTCCAGAGACCAGGGCTTCTTTCACAGACTCCAGGGGGAGGGCCTGGGGTGGGGGATCTTGTGGCTGGCTGTGCTTTCTGGGGGCCACCAGGTCCCCAGCCCGAAAGCCCCAAACCAAGCTGGGAAAGCAGCTGCTCTTGCGGTCACTGTAGTCAGCCTCCCGGCTGCACTGCAGGGCTGTAACAGCAAGCCTGGCTGCCTCCCTGCAGGTAGAGGCCCCCTCCTCCCCCCTCTGCTGCATGTTACCCTACCCCCACCCCCACCCCCTACCTGGGGCAGATGAGGGGTGTTGAGAGGAAAGGCTTAGGAACTTCTTCCTCTTCGCAGGGCCTGGCCCTGATGTCCTCCAACTCACAGGGTCAGAAAGTGCAGGCGTTGGTGGTGGAGAGGTGGGCTGAGTCTGCCAGGGACCAGAGGGGTTCTTCCCACCCAGGGTGAAAGCTGTCAGCTGAAAGCCAGCTATCACAGTCAAAGTATGTTTTTAGAGCAAGAAACAGATGCATCCAGGTGGGGATGGACATCATCATGGGCCCCGCCCGCCCGGGCCCCCGCCCCAGAGCAGGGTCTCTGCCCACCCAGCCTCAGCCAGGTCAAAAGCAGGACACAATACTGCACGTCAGACAGTGTGCCTGCTCTCCATGTTTACGGGAACATCACTTTGCAAGCGTTTGAGAATTTCTGAAAAAGATGATTCATCACCAATCCCTGGAAAGGCATGATTCATCACTGATCCCTGGAAAGGCATTGCTTTAAAGGGACTTCTCCAGCAGTATGTGTGTGTGTGACTGTATGTGACTGTGTGTCTGTGTCTGTGTGTGTGACTGTGTGTCTGTGACTGCGTATGTGTGTGTGAGACTGTGTGTATGTGTGATTGTGTCTATGTATCTGTGTGTGACGGTGTCTCTGTGAGTGTGTATGTGTGTGTCCTCACACAGGGATGAGAGCGTGTGTGCACACAGACATTAGAGGACACATACAAGCACAGGGATGTGAGAGTTTATGTGCACACAGCTGAGATGCCTGTGAATGTGTGGGTCTGAGCGTGTGCAATTGTACGTGTAACAGGGAACCCATAGCGGAGGGGAGTCAGCAGACCCGCAGCATATTGGTTTCACGAAATGACACCGAGTTCTCCCTCCTCTGGGCTGTTTGCTGCTGGCCACTCGGCTCCAGGAAGCACTCAGCAGGGTTGTCATCCAGCCCATCTGCATCTGACCAACTGGCCCTGGAAACAGCAGAACCAACCCCCGCCGCCCTTCCTCCCACCGGTGCTACTGCGGGCCCGGCCGGGGGCAGTGGGGTGCAGCGGACACATTGTCATCCGCAAAAAGAGCAGATGCATCGGAACGTGTGGGAGGCACTTCTATCCCTGAAAATCCGACTGTCCTAGGTCTGTCCACTGGACTCCAGTTTCAGCCTATAACTGCCCAGTCACCGTGCCGAGCTGCCTTTCTGAGGGATGAGAGGGGGCGCTTTCAGGGGCAGCTGGGACCACCCTGTGGTGCAGGTGAGCGGTGAGGCCAGCAGGTAATGATTATGGGACTCTGCACAGAGGTCGTCACGCAGGGTGGACATTAGAGCTGGTGGGGCCTTGACCATGCGACGGTCCCTCTCAGGCCAGAGACGTGGCCTCCAAATGCAGGAAGGAAGGTGGCTGCCGTGTTGGGACCAGAAGGGGCTGGGGACGGGGCGAGAAGGGCCAGTGAGCTGTCAGTCTGTGCCCCTGCTTTTAAATCACCCAGAGCTACCCAGCCTCTCCTAAGGCAGCTTGAAGGTGGGTGGTGCGCTGGGCCCCGCTGGCTGCTCACTGGCTGAGTAAGAGCCTGTCCCTGCCTGTGAAACTCGCGCCGACTCAGCACACACCCCAGGCTCACCCCCGCATGTTCTCATAAAGGCAGAGGGCCTCCAAGGGCCTCCAAGGGCCGGATGTGTCCTCCTTCTGAACACAGATGGTCCAGTTTCCTTCTGGAGGTAGACCTCTGGGGCTGGGCCACCCCACCCCACCCCTGCGCAAAGGGAGGCGAGTCACAGTGAGCGCCAAAGTCTTGGCTCCAGGCTGAGCCAGGGGATGGATGGGTGCCGTAAAGTGGGAGACCCTCTGTATGTGACTTTTCACTTTTATTGTATCAACTTCCAAAAGAAAGAAAACGTTCCTTCTTTTCTTTGTGGGCGGTGAGCAAGGTCCCAGAGGGTGTGCTGGAGACACCACCGTCCGCATCCAACTCACCTGTCACACACACCTGTTGCCCTCACACTCACATCCACGGACGCTCAGTCATGCTCACGCACAGGCATGAGTGCACTCACACACAAGCATTCACACGCACACACTCACACACATCACACACCCTTACCCACACACCTGTGCACACTTGCATGTGCACACTCACTCATGCCCATACACTCACTTGCCACAGCACTCACACACATCCAGATGCACACGCATACTGTCACGCTCACGCACGCAAGCACCCACTCACACGGGCACGCTCAGCCACTTAGATGCACACACGTGACACCCACCCACACCCACAAACCCTTGTAAACACATGCACGTGCACACTCACTCATGCCCACGGTCTCCCAATCACCTTTGTGCACACTTACACCCACACATACCCTGCATGCACACACACTCACTCTCACACTCCCTCACATGCACACGGGAAGATGTGGGGATGATGTACAGAAATGTGTCAGCCCAGGGCAAGAATAACTGCACTTCAGGGTCAGGGCTGGTTCTGATACGAACCCTGCAAAGGGGACCCACCGGGTGCCCCTCACTCCTTTGGTTAAAAGCAGGGGACAGAGGTCTTTCCCAGAGGCCATCCTACCAGGCAGGGCGGGCCTGGAGAGCTGAGCAGTTCCCCACAGCGAGACCAACAGGAGTCTCCTTGTTAGAGCAAATGCCAAAGTCAGTCCAAGGCCACCTCTGGGCAGTGAGTGACCAGAGCCTGGGACCCAGCTACGGCTTGGCCACCTGCAGTTCCCGCTGCGCGGCCTGCAGCAGGCCCTGGAGCTTCCAAAAGATGCCTCGGGCTGCTCTCCGGGGGGCCTCCGGGGCTCCAGGGGCCGCACACTCCTGCACCACCTCCTGTAACTTCTGCTGGAGCTGGAAGGAGACCCCCGAGTCTTCCCGAGGCGAGGAGAACCAGTGGCGGAAGATCTTGTCGCAGATGACCTGAGGGAGAGAGCAGGCAGGTCAGCCGGGGAAAGCCCTCAGCCAGGGAGGTGGGGGGTTGTGTGGGGGGGCTCCACCTTTGGTGCCTTGTCCTATAGTGACGGTGGTGGTTGAGAATACCCAGGGCAGTGCACCGCCCATTTACATAGCAGGCCTTCCTCCTGCGGGGCAGCCATCCTCCCCTCCCCCACTACCATGAACTCGCTGCCCCGCCCCGCCCACGTGCAGTATCCGCGTGACCCCACCGAGACAGCTCTGAAACCAGCACCACGCTCCTGGCAGGCCTGCTTCACTAGCTACACTCGGCCAGTTTGGTTTCCCGACGGCCTCACGGGATGCTTGTGGTTTTAAGGCAACACTTTCAGCGGTCTGTCCAGCTTCAATGGACCTGGAAAGTCTGGATTCCGTGAGCATGTGAAATTCGGTTGTGTGTTTCTCCCCTTCTGACGGGCTTGTGCTATGGAATCATGATCACATGGAGACTGTGAGCGCTCTCGGCAGACCTAGGCTCTCCCTGGCCCCCAGTGCCTCATTGAACAGTGCCTCACACGCCAGGGAGCGGTGGCGCTGAAAGAGGAGGGCAGCCCCTGCATGTGGCTCAGAAGAAAGACACGGTGGTCTGAGTCAGAAAAAATTGGTCTCTGTCGTGATTGGTTCTTTAGAGGATGAGGGGCCTGCCTCTGTGTGAAAGAGGATAGCCCCCACCCCCAGCCTCAGCACCGATGGGGAAAACGTGGGGGACACCTCCAAAGAGGATCAAGCAATTTGAGGAGACAAGGGACATGCGTCCCAGGCAGGAAGCGCTGTGTCCGGGACAGGGACAGTCAGCCTCCCTCTGCCACCACAGTGCGGCCTTGGCTGAGCCCAGTTTCGGAACCCCCCCCCCCCCCCCCCCCCCCCCCCGTTGGCCCCAGGGACCAACGGCATGGTAGAAAGGAAGCCCACACAAGGTGGGTGGTGACCTTGGGGGGAAGCAAAGCTGTGGGTGAGACTCTTCTGAGAGGCCGTGGAGAGCTTGGTTCAGAAGCAGAAACACATCTTTCACTTGAAGCAGGATGCTCGAACTCTCGGATGCTGAGACCTCTTTGTGGGAGCCCCGGTGGGTTACAGATTGGGCCGCTGACCAGCTGGTCATTGGAAATCGTCAGCCACTCCCCAAGAGAAAGACGAGGCCTTCATCCCTGGACAGTTACAGTCTCAGAAACGCCCAGGGGCTGTTCTACCCACCCTGTCAGGTCACCGTGAGCTGGGATGGGCTCCCTGGCAGTGCATTAGGGCTGGGTTTTGAGTGCCTGGGTGGGATGGTTACCTGGAGCTCACCTGTGGTCAGGGGGCTGGAAGCGTCCTGCTACCAGGACTGGCCATGTGTCTGACCACGGCCTGAGTGAGTCGAGACCAGGTCCGCCTGCAGGTGCTTGCTGCATTCTTTCCAAGTGGCCCTTCCCATGATCAGGACACCAGCTGCCCCACAGGCCGGTCCCAGTGCCTCCCAGAGGGGGGCCGCTCTCGGGATTCACAGCTCTGTGGACAGGAGGAGGGGCGGTCCCTGCTGGCCCACGAGGAGGGCTGGGAGCCTGGGACCTGATCGGGAGGGGCTGCTCTCGAAGATATATGAGGCTGATTGTGGCTGTGTCACCTGCTCACGTGACCAGTGACCACACAGGAGGAGGATGGGGCCCAGTCCAATGTGAGTGGTATATTCAGAGAAGAGGAGGGCCACCACGGGATGACATGGGCAGAGATGGCGTGGGTCTGTGGCCATAAGCCATGGAGCGTGGGCAGCCACCGGGACCAGGTGAGACAGTTTTTCCCTAGAGCCCTCGGTGACACGCAGGCTCAGGCCCCCAGCTGACCCCCCAGAGCGGCCAGGATGGCAAGTGCAGGCTCATCACAGACCGCACCCACGCAATGCCTCCTTCACCCTCATCCTGTGGCTGCTGGTCAGATCACAGGCGACTGCACAATGCACACTCCCTCGGCCACTGACCAGGTCAGTGGTTTGAAGCCACCCAGGGTCTCTGAGGGAGAAAACACCTGTCAGTCCACCCCTGCCTGTGAGGCTGACCATCTCAGAAACCATATGGGGCCGCTCTCCCCTGTGCTATGGGGTCGCTGGCAAAATGAAAACGTTTGAGCTGAGGTGAGAATGAGCAGCATGGGACACAGAGATGCAGAGTTAGCGTCACACAAGAACTCACTGCCCCGAGCCCATTCCGAGGGGCCCTGGGGCACCGTAGCTGACACACTGGACAAGGTTGCCAGCTGTAACCCACAGGCCCATCCACACGAGAGCAGCAGAAACCTGCAGGGCAGCTGTGCGCTGTCCCTTAGAGTGACCGTGAGACAGTGAGTGTACCTGCAGGAGGATGACACACATTGACAGGTGCGCTCGCCCCCAGGTTCCCCCGGACCACCCCCCATCTGTGAGAAGCATGTGTCTGTAGGTGAGACACGGTGGACACAAACAGGTGAGGTGAGTCTGTGTGCATCTGTGACACCTGTCTGCAGTGGGACACTGAGGGACGCTGACCTGGACAACAGCTTGTGCCGCAAAGCCACAGTGCTGTCATACGGAAGGGACAAGGTGGCCGGGCCGGCACACCAGCCCACCCACTGCCCACCCCACTCACCTGTAGGTTGCTGTTCACGCGCTGGGCCCCACACCTGTGTGCTCGCAGATCACACTTGGAGAAACAGTCAAAGAAATTGCAGTCTTCGTCCACCGTGCAGTTCTGCTCAAGAATTTCCCTCATCTTGGGTTCGAAAAACGCCATGTCCACATCGATGGCCACCACCTGAAATGGACGCCACACGTGGCTACTCCAGGGCAGGGGGTTTGCTCCAGCAGACTGCTCTGTCCCTGAGAGCTCAGTGAGGGAGGCAGGGCAGAAGCTGATGGGACATGGGATTCTCTGATCCCAGTGTGGGTGGCTGTGAACAGAGCTCATGGTGAATGCAAACACTTGGAATGCCAACGTGGGGACTGATCGTTTTGCCATTCTGCCGGGTCTGAAAGGAGCCATCTCAACAGGAAGAGGCAGGAGACATGTTGCTGCCAGAAAGAAGGCCCAGGAGTCCCTGCATCCTTTGGCTCTGAATCCCGGCTCATGGAGATCCCTGTTTAAGCCAACCAGGGTCTCTGAGGCAGTAAAGACCTGGCAGTCCACCCCTGTGAAGCTGACCGTCTCAGAAACCGTATGGGGCAGCTCTCCCCTGTGCTGTGAGGCCACTGGGAGTCTGAATCCACTGGGCACGACACGGCCACCATGCACCTCTGCTAGCCCCAAGGATGTGTCCCGGCCGGCGCCAGAGAATGGCTCTGTTTCCCCAAATGTGTAATGCTTCCCCCGCAGGCAGTTGTCGGGGTCAGAGCCCAAAGCTTTGGCCTTGTCACTGACAGAGCTTGGCGTGTGGGATCTTAATCAAAGTGCCTTGGTCATCTTTAAGCATGGCCTCAGCTCTCCAAGCAGAATCGCTGACAGGTCCTAAAAATGACTCCCTCCTCCGAGCCTCTATCCTCAGTCTCTGACCTTGGGGGCCAGGGTTATAAAGACCGAGGCTACAACCCACCTGCCCCCAAGAACTCAGACCTAAAAGGAGGCTGTGTTCAGCAGGTGGGTCTGAGGGTAGGAAGTGGGCGGGCAGGAGAGGAATACAGTCCGAAACCCATTGCCTCACTGCTGCCCTGCAGAGTTTCCAAGACTGTCAGTCTTTATGGGAGCACACAGCCTCAGTTTGGCTCCTGTCGGTTGGCTGGTGGGTTTGAACTGCTGCCTTGCAGTTGGCAGCACAATGCTGAACCCTCTGACCCGCCCCCACCCCACCCCAGACACACACCCAGGGCCCCAGGGCGCCCGGCTCTCTAGGGATGGCAGGTCTGTTACCCGAGTGTCAGGGAGGCAGTGGAGGCAGGTTCCCGAGTTGGGACCAGTCCGGCCCCTGAACCAACAGGTTTCCTGTCAGCATGAGAAGGGGACCCCTTCCCCGGCCCTGGGGATCTCAGATTTCACCCCCTGGCTTCCTACCAAAACCACCTTGACAACAGAAAGAAGAAACCATCTCTAAATGACTCTGTGTGTGTGTGTGTGTGTGTGTGTGTGTGTGTGTGTGTGTGTGTGTAATCGACCACCTGGATTAAAAAAAACCAGCAACCTAAAAGACGAGCTCAGCCCATGAAAACCTGGAGTCGGCCCAAACTGCAACGGAGAGCCTTGTAGCTCGGAGGGATGACAAGGCTGCTAAGCAAGAGCCTGCGTCTGGGCAGGCGGGCCACGAGCCCACACAAGTCAGCAGCCCAGCGCCCCCACCCCCACCAGCACCCTGCCCCCACTCAAGCCAGCGAACTCGCCACCCTCCCTCTGGTTCCAGGCGGCCAAAGGCCTGATTCAAGCTTGATTCCCAGTCCAGCTGCAGGCCCAGAGGTGGGAGGAGGGGAGGGGGTGCAGTGGTGGCATCTGCCGTTAGAAGGGTGAACCGGGGCTGACATGGTGGCACCTGCTTTCTGCTCCCTTAGTTCTCATCCATTGAGAGAGGATCATCCATCACAAGCCCATTGTCACAATGACTGGCAGGCTGGGGGACACGGAGCCCAGCCCTCTGCCCTGGTCCTGGCCACACCCAACATCACCACCTGCCCTGGCATCGTACCTCCAAGCAATGGCACCTGTGTCAGGGCACCTAGACCCATGAGCCTTCATCTGCACATTGGTTTTATCCTGTGAGTGTGTGTGTATGTGTGTGGGGGTGGGGGTTTTATAATGAAACATCAAAGGCCCCTCCCTGGTGGTGCAAACAGTTAACTGGCGGCTTCCAGTGCACCCGGGAATGCTGTGGAGGAAAGAAAGGCTCAGCGACCACTGCAAGAAGTCACAGGCGGAAACTCCCGTGGTCAGTGCTGCCTTTAGCACGGGGCCAGCCGGGCGGTCAAGGCTCGGGCACTCGGCTGTGCACCGAAAGGCTGAAAGCTGAAGCCCCCCAGGGGCACCTCAGAGGAGAGGCCTGGGTGCCTGGCTGCTGGAGAAATATTGGAAGCACCAAAAAGCATTTAAAACTCTGGTGCAGGACCTGGAATGGGTCAGGGCCGGACCCCCTGCAGAGTGGTGGAAAGGGTCTCTCGTGATCCAAGTTCAAAGGTCCCCTCCCTGGGGCCAGATTCTTATTCACTGGTGTTCTGCCACCCGGGGGAAACGGGGGTCCCTGGAGCCCACTTTCAGTCATCAGGTTAACCGAGCGCAGGGAGGCTGCCTTCTGTGACCTGGGGACTGGAGCTCCCCTGGGGTCATGTTTTTGGGTTCACACCTCTGAGTGGGAGAAGCCTGTGTGTCCCAGCTATCCTTTCCCCAGCATCATAAATGGAGGTGGAGAGTAAATGGGGTGCCAGGGTTGGCAGATGGCACCCTGTACCAGGAGGACCACCAGAGTCACTACAGCCAGCCGCCCCAGCCCCTTAGGGCGCCCAGCCCCGGGTCTCACCGTGAGGTCACTCCGGATGGCGAAGTTCTCGGGCTTGACATCACAGAGGTGCAGGCGGTGGGCAAAGTCCTGCTCAAAGTGCCGCACCATGTCCAGGAAGCTGAGCGCCATGCTGCCCACGGCGGCGGCGGCCTGGCCCCCTCGAGCCCCAACATCAGGGCCTAGCGGGAAGAGCGCGCCCAGGCTTGGGCTCCCGGCGGCCAGCAGCTCCACGGCGTAGAAGTGGCCACAGGAGCCCAGCACAGGGGGTACGTGGCGGCTCAGGCCCTGCAGCAGGCTCAGGTGGAGGAATTCCTCCTGCTGCAGCAGCGCCCACAGGCTGGCCACCTGCCCACGCCAGCCGGGGCCCCGGCTTGGCCACTGCCGCCCCAGGCTGCCGTTGGCCAGCTGCAGGCCCAGGGCACTCTTGACCTCGCTGGCCACCAGCAGCAGCAGCTCAGCCTCGGGCAGGTCCTGGGCCTCGTTGGCCACTGCCTCCAGCAAGCCTGGGGGCTGGAAGCTGGAGAAGGCCTCCTCCTTGGACTTGAGGATGACCGGCCGGCCCCGCCAGTCGGCCTGCAGCACCTTCTTGCCCCGCTCGTAGTATAGGCAGTGCCGGTACACCAGCCGGCCGGTCACACACAGGTCTTCACACAGGTCCCCCACGAGCGCTCCGCCCTGGTAGTCCTGGCACTGCAAGGAAGGGAAGGGCTGGTCACCAAGGGAGCCCTGCCTAGGGAGCAAGCAAGCCCACAGCGCCGGCACCAGCCAGGGAGAGCTCAAAGACCCCTAACCTTAGGGCGCGGTGTGATCCTGTAACACACGGGTCGCCATGAGTCCACGCCAATCGGGGGCTGTGCTGTGGCGAGAACACCTGACAGTGTTGACTACAGAGGAGTGAGGAAGCATTAGTGAGCCCGTGCTAGTGAGCCCGTGCGTCATCTGCCATGAGGCTGGGCCAGTGATTCTTAATGCTGTCCCACCAAGAACCCCTGGGGAGCTTGCACCTATCACTGGGGGGAAGGGGAGCTGTGTGGCCAGCTCCTTGGACCCTAGTGTTTGCAGCAGGGAAGAAACTGTGTTGCCTTTGGAGCCACCCCACCCCTCCGCGGTGGCCTGTGTGGTGACATGTATGTTGCTGAGGTGCTGGAAACTGCCTCCAGTTTTTCAAAGGGGCCACCATGGTGGGCAGGTGTCTTAGGCGACCTTCCAGTCCAAAGCTGACTAGGGAGAAATTGACCAGTGGAACCCCCGTGGGTCACCACAGAGCAGGGCTGGCTGCGACGCTGGATGCCATCTGGGAAGGCCCGTCTCTGGAGCGGGGCACTGTATTTGGTCAAGGGAAGGGCCAGCAAAACTGAGGGAGCCCTCAAGGAGGTGGACTGGCCCACCAATCCTGATGACGGTGAGACATGGGGCCACTGGAGGTCGGCACAGGCTCCACAGCCCCTGCGGAGGACACGGTCCTGGACAGCCCCTTAAAGTCACAAGGTGTCCTCTAGTCAGTGCCTGCTGGTGCAGTCGGGTAAGTGCTGGGCTGCTAACCACAAGCTCAGTCGTTTAAACCTGCCAGCCGTTCTGCAAAAAGCTGAGGATGTCTGCCCCCATAAATATTGATAGCCTCAGCTACCCTCTCTAGCAGGATTGCTGGAATCAGACGGTTTGGTATGGTGTAGTGGGGTAGTGCAGGGATACCTAAATAATTCCAAAATCCAGAAAGTTGTGAAAGCCAAGAGTTCTCTGTAACTGTCTGAAAAGCCTGACCTGGCTTCTGGAGGTGTCAAGACCCTCCTGAGAAGGCAGGGGGCTAGTTATAGCTTTCTGCATTCTGCTTCTAATGTGTTTGCATACATTGCGCTGCGGGATCATCAGCTGCTGCCCCAGTCCCTGCTGGCAGTGTGGCGCAATCTACGGGATAGAAACCCTATCATCTTCTGAAACTCAGGACTCAGTATCCTGGCCCCCAGGAGTTCCACAAGGGCCCGTGGGCCTGCAGAAATGTCGCTGCAGGCTAGTTGGTCCCAGTGAGGAGGCCCAGGGGCACAAACTACACCCAGTAGGCTGCTGCCCAGTCCAGTCTGACTCCTGGCGAGTCCGGGAGTGCCCCAGGGGGAAGGTTATATGCTCGGCTGCCAACAGAAAGGGCCACTGTGGGAGAAAGACCTGCGAGGGGCTCTTATGAAGACCACAACCCAGGGACCCTTGGGGCAGTCGTCCTTGGTCCCATGGGGTCCCTAAGTGGTGCATGTCCAACACGCTGCTCAGTAGACAGCTTCAGGAAAAACACTTGAGCTCCTTAAACAAGGGCCTAGGGTTCAGATGTCCAGGCAGAACCCCCACAAGTGCCTGCCAGACCAAGACCAGGTCATCTGATCTGAGACAGGGTGGGAGGGGGGTGCTGGGGAGGGGCCCCGGGAGCTTGCCTCGGGCTGCTTCAGAGCTCTATGCAGCAGACTGGAGGTGGTGCTGTGGCCTTGGCTATGGCAACCTGGAGGGAAGATAGGGATCTGCAGAGACAAAGTCCTGAACCTGATCCCAGAGCTACTTGATGCCACCAAGGCGCCTGGGGCCGGCCTTTGTCTTGGGAAACTACTGCCCCGAGGAAGCTGCACTGATACCCTAGCCCACACAGCCCAGCCCTGGTGGCACACTTAAACAGTCGCCAGGGATCCTCTTTGTAAGTGGATTCTCTTTGTAATCCTGTGTCCTCTTTCCAAGGCTGGGATCCACTGAGTGAGCAAGTACTGAGGCGACCAGGGAGGGACCAGGGTCAGCTGGTGTCTAAGTGCTTTCTTAGCCCCTTGTGGGAGAACAGCCGCTGGTGCCGGGCCCCCGCCCACCCGCCAGGTAATCTTGGGAGGTGAGGTAAGACTGCAAGGGGGATTGTCTCAAGCAAAGGTGGTGTTGTATTGGTGTGTCGTTCACTTATGTTCCTCTCTACTTGATCTGGTATTTTACAGACTCTCCCATTTAGAAGGTGTCCTTGTGGGGTAGTGGATTCCATGTTGGACTTCTCACCACAAGGTCAGCAGTTCGAAACCACCAACCACTCTGCAGAAGAAAAATGAGGATCTCTATACCGTAAAGAGTCACAGTCTTGGAAGCCCACAGCGGCAGTTGTACTCTCTCCTACACGGTCACCAAGAGTCAGAATTGACTCGATGGCCGTGAGTTTTGGTTTTGGTGGTGTAGAGGGTTGAGAGTTGGTCAGCTAACGGCAAGATCAGTGGTTCAAACCCACCAGCTGCTCCGAGGGAGAAAGAACCCTAGTAAGAAATGCAACGTCCCCCACCTTGGTTTCTTTCTAAAGCCTCAGAGCCCTGCACGGCATCCCGGACAGCACGATCCCAATGAGTACACAGGAACGTCAGCATGGTGTTTGTAGCTTTGCCAGAGGGGCCAGTCTAGGACTTGTGAAGTCCAACGGGAGGGATGGCTGGGGTCGTGACTGACAGGAAGGCACCGAGCTGGAGGGGACTGGGGATCCCTGCTCCACTGCACAGGGAGATGGGAGATGGAGGGACGTCCAGGGGCAACCCAGGCTGGGCCCCGCCATGCCAACGCCCACACTGCCAGTGAGCAGGGAAGTACTGGGGACCCATGCCCACAGCCCGCCCTCGCTCTTTGGTCTGGACCCGGGCCGTGTGGAGCCCTGAGGGTCCCACGCAAGCTGTGGTCACCAGGATTGGAAGGGCCGTGGGCTTCAGCCCTATCTCAGAAACATACACCATACCAACTGCCACGGGGGCAATGCTGACCCGTGGTGGCCTGTGTGTGCAGAGCAGCACTGTCACCGGTTTTCCTGACGTCTTTCGCCAGGCCTTTCTTCAGCGGTCCCAGCTGGTGAATGTGAGCCTCACCTCATCAACTGCATGCAGGTCATCAAGGCCAACGTTGGCCCTTAGCAGCCACCAAAGCCCAAACCACGGTCCCTGCCGTCGAGATGATGCTGACTCACAGCGAGCCGAGAGAGAGTCAAGTTGCCCCTTTGGAGTCCCAAGGTCTTAAACAGGAGTCCTGGTGGCTATTCACCACAGGATAGCCGTTTGAAGCCAGGATCTCACAGAGCTGGCCTGTGGGTTTACCAGACGGAAAAGCTTTACAGGAGTAGGAAGCCCATCTTTCTCCTGAGCAGCAGCTGGTGGTTTTGATCTGCCGACCTCACAGATCACAGCCCAACTCGTAACCCCTACGTCATCAGGGGTCCTAAAGATGCCAAATTCGGCTCTCCTAAATACTGAAATGAAGTTCGTCACAAGACTTTACCAACACAGCAAAAAGAGAACCTGCAGCCTGGGGGAGTCTCTGGGAGCATCTAGCTTTCTCTTAAGGAGCAGCTGGTGAGTTCCCCTCGTAAACCACTGCACCACTGACTGGCTCCCTCACGCCCTGCCTTTCACAGAGACGCCACCGCACAGGGTAAAACTGCCCCTGTGAGTTTCAGAGACCGAGACTCCTGTGGGAGTAGAAAGCCCGTCTTTCTCCTGCAGAGCGGCTGGTGATGTCAAACTCTGACCTTGCAGTGACTAGCCCAGTGGGTAAGCACTACACCAGCAGTTTCTTTCTTATGTTGGGTATAAATGCTACCCTGAGAGCCTTGGTGGAACAGATTAAAGATAAGGTTGTCGGTTCTGGTAAGCTTGAGCTCACTGTCATCCAGTCAGTTCGGACTCAGGGGGACCCAATAGGACCGCGTAGACTCGCCCCGTGGGCTTCTGAGACGGTGACTCTTTACAGCAGAGACTGGCTTCGAATTGCGACCCTCATGCTTAATAGCCACCAGGGCTCTCGTTTCAGGCCTGGGAATTGCAAAGGGACAGCCTGGCTCTGTCCTCTAGGTTGCTGCGAGTCAGGATTTGGCAGTGGGTTTGGGTTTGGATGTGGATTGGTTAATTATCAAAACCAAACTTACTGCCATCAAATCAATTCAGACTCATAGCAACCATATAGGACAATAGAACTCCCCCTTTGAGTTTCCAAGGCTAGACATCTTTTGATTAAATAGATTTTCATACTTTATTTATTTTTCATTATTAATTGGGAGTTAATACATAGATCATTCCACAATCCAGTCACGCCAAGCAGAATCGCACAACTGCTACCCCAATCAGTTTCCCTAAATCGTGACGGGAGCAGACAGCCTTGCATTCTTTGCAGGGAACAAGTGGTGGGCCGGATGCTGACCTTGCATTCAGCAGCCGAGTTTAACCTGCTGCTCCACCGGGCTCCTTTGGCTTAATCATAGGGAATAAAAATGCATAGTTTGCCATGTTAAACTTTTAGCTTAAAATGAAAAGCTAACATCATCCTTCATTTATTTGCCCCTGGTTATGTGGGAAAAGGCTTCATGGAATCAAGTATGCTCTGGTGGTGCTGAGGGTGATGTGCTGGGCTGTTCACTGCTTAGTCAGCAGTTGAAACACATCAGCCACTTCTCAAGGGAAACATGAGGCTCTCTGCACCCATAAAGATTTACCAGTTCGGAGACCCTATACCACCCTAGACCCTATGTAGAGACACTATATATGAGCCAGAATTAATCTCGTGGCAGTGGATTTCAGTTTAATACAGTGGTTCTCAACTTTCCTAATGCCGTGACCCTTTAATACAGTTCCTCATGTTGTGGTGACCCCCCAGCCACAAAATTATTTTTGTTGCTACTTCATCACTGTAATTTTGCTACTGTTATGAAT